CGACGGCTCGACGAGGACTTGAGGAGTGGGCGGAAATGGGAATAAACTTACGACCTTCTACAACGCGACAAGGGTGGAATGCCAACTGCTATCGTCTGCTTCCTTTGCGCAACTGAAGAACTCGCTTCAATGATAAATCCGAATTTTCCGGAAACGGCCGATAAAATGTGAGTTTCCATACTTAATCTGATCACAGAAAGTGAAAAAAAAAAAGAGGGGGGGGGGGGGGGGGGGCTGCAAGGAGAAAAGGGAGAAGGTGAAGTAAATAACGGTGAGGCATTACGAAACCTAAGGTGCCCGCAATCTGCAACAAGGTGTTAAAAAAAAATTCTCCGGCTCATTTTTTTTATGTGGAATGCTCAACCGATCTTCAGGTCAAATGAGTCTCATGCGACAGAAGTGGTTACAGTGAAGTTGTGGTGCATGTATCTGACACGATATTCTTGGTTAGATTGCCATGCCCTTGTTCCGAGCTGGCTCACGTTGAGTCAGTTGGCTTTCAGGGACGACGGAAATGAAAGGATACGCGAGGAACGGAGGTCAGGGCGAACCTTCGCGTGTTCTCGTCATTCGTCGTGGTGAAAGCGCAGAGAATAGGAAAGCCAGAAAAGAACAGGAAAAAGAAGGGGGAGAGAAAGAAAGAGAGAAAAAAAAGAGCAGTCTTGTGTTAATACACAGCACAGTCACAGCGATATAGCTGTGACACGTCTCGGCGAAATCGTCGGGCATCGGCATCGCGGTCGTTCGGAACAAAAGCGTTCGGAACAAAATGAGAATGGACAGCTGACCATTTTGTTCCAAACGCTTGTTTTTCGTTTTTGTTTCAGAGCGCATGAATGCGCTTCTTCCGGCAGGAGATATTGGCATTGACCGCGCTGCTGCGGCATTTTGTTATCGGCTATTTCTGTGTATTTTTCCAGAGAGCACGTGCAGTGGGCATCGCATACTTCAAAATCCCTACATATAAGACGGCTTGTTGACGCTGTGGCGTAGCTCGGTGGTATACACTCTAAGAAATGCCTGCGCGTCTACTTACCCGCAAAACACTCAGAGAGCCAATCTCTGCGATCTACGAAATCAGCTAAGCGAATGATGAGGCGGAACATCGTTTAGAGCTAAAAATTAAGTTTGCGCTGTGGCATTACGCAATGCAAGCATGACGCTTTGCATTGCGTAATGCAATAATAAACAAAAATGCTCATTGGTTTTCGGTCACCTTGTATTCCGTGTTTTGTCATTCATGGGATTCTTCTACTGTACCGCTGTGATTTGTTGCCTAGTGTACTGCAAAAACATAAAAACTGACAAACCTCTTTTTTTTTCTTCTTTTTGTTTTGTGTGTACTGCGGCATTGGGCTTCTCGCGACGTTTTTGCTACGGTAGTTTTGCTGCCACCTATAGGCCTTGGAATCTTTCGATTGTGATTCCCCGGTCAGTGCCAACGAGCTTCACGTTCACAAACAAAGAATCCGGTTTGCATCCAGTCTAAGGAAGCCGGGTTTGGTGTCACTCCTTTCGCGACGCCGCGAACTTCCCTAAATGTTCGTCGCTTGACATATCCCGTGTATGGAGTTGCTCAACTTCCAGCGTAAAAATTCGAAAATGTATAGTAAAACAAATGAAAGGTGTCCCTTGGAGTAACTTCTCGCGTAACCAGCTCGCGATAATTTGCTAAGCTTGGAGAGTGGCCTTTTCCGCCAAGAAACAATAACTGCCCGCCCAACCTTCATTATCGCCTTCGGAAGGAGTTTGTGTAACATTTTGACAAAACTTATATCACTGCCATGTCTGCTATGATCATGAGACGGACGCTATCGTGCGGAAGGAGACGATAGTGTAGCGAGATCAGGTGTGTACTTGGACTCTCTCCCCGTGCTTTTCAATGGGCGGAACGTGAACAAAAAGAGTTCCAGATAAGGACTTTACGCAAATGGCTGATTTTCTCAAGCGCCTAATATTTTTTTCTTTGCCATCCGAGGGCTTCTTTTTTGTTCCCTGCCGTTATTTCAGGCACGGAACCAAAGGTCCACAAAACAATATTTCACTGAAATGATGTCAGAAAATTTAGAATATAATCCTTTTCAGGTTGCACAACACTCCCCAATTAGTGATTCGGTTGGTGCTTTAATCAGGCACATCAATAACATTTTACACTTCGTTTTATGGTGAGTTAAAATCAGCGTGTAGGTGATAAATATGCCTTCTTAAAAAAAAAAAAAAAAAAAATCCAACTGAACTCCTTAAAGTTATTTCCCAGTTTCTATTCGTCCACTGCTGAAGCTGATTTGGTTTTAAACACTAGTTAACTGTGCCCCCCGAACAGCTAAAGGTCTATACCTATAAAGACAGCAAGTAAGTAAATGAGGGATCTGAGATAAAAACTACTAAACCAGCAGCCCAGTAATGAGGGTCATTTAGAAATCTTTCTGGCTACACTGGAATATCATTAAATCTCGCTTAAAAAGAAAAGAAATCACGACTAATTATGCTTGCAAAGTCTCAGGAGATCGCAGTCCAATAATATGCACATACTGTGATGACAGCCGCGATTCAATTTCGAACTTTTTACTGCAAAGTAAGTTGTCACATTAGCATTCTCCTTTCTCTTGTTTCTCGTCAAGTACCCGACAGGTGCACGTGCTCCATCCTGATCAGAACAAAGGTTGTTGTTGTTTTGTTGTTGTTCTTTTTCGCAGTGCACGTAACTCCGCTGCGGCGACGTGAGATGAGCAAGATCGCAATGTCCACTCCGGAAATGTGGCTTCTCCGCAGCGCACTACTGCGCGGCGAGAAGCGCACTCAACGGAGCTGACTAATCCGAAAGTTGCTCGATGCAACTTCGAAAAAATCGGAATATGGCCGAAATGTGAGTACGGTCAGTGCCCGATGAGAAACATTTAAGCGACCCGCCCGTTATTCTGAGCTATAGACGAACGTTTCCGTAATTCGCACAAGCGAACTGACAAAGCGAAACTAACGTTTGGTCCGATGGAGGTGCCCATGCAGATAACTCATATATATATATATATATATATATATATATATATATATATATATATATATATATATATATATATATATATATATTATGAAACGGAGCAAAGTGAATGCATTACTGCAGTTTGGCACAAACGGCGTAGCAGTTACAGCACTGCACTGAGTATGCGCAGAATACTGCATCTCACGAGTTAGTTTCAGTGCTGGCAAAGGCACGAGAGCGTGGCTCTGAAGAATGGTTCGACTGCACAAGCACTCGTACGCGGAAGACACTTTCGAGAACCACCCAATGCCGTACCCAATGCCCATACCCTCGCAGCCGTTGCACACAACACGTTCCCCGTTTGACAGACAAGTGTGACTGCAATCAATGATTTCTCATTTCGTCTGCTCGCCTGCATGGGTGCTATTGTTGTCTCTGGTTTGTTTGTTTGATTTTGCACACGTTTCGCCTACTGCATTAATTCCACTCAAACACATGCATGGAACCGAGGCTGCAAAACATACGCCCCTGCGAATGTTACTAGCGAGCGCTCTTTTTTCGTGTTTCCTGAGCCTAAGGTCATCAGGGGACTGCTATTTTCATCCAACTTCGATCCGTGAATGCATTCGCGTGCGAGCTGAATCCAAAGTCGATAACGTACGGAAGACGAGCTAGGAACTCTTGGCAAAACATCATCGACCGTGCAGGCCCGTGTCAACGAACCCTCGAGTTCTTTTTTATTTGTTTACTCGGTGTTACCGTTTCTGACACAGTTTTAGCTTGTCGGGGAAATATCACGGTTAGCGAGCTAGCTAGGGAACTATGTATCAAAACACATGTCTGAAAATAACAAATGCGTTAAACGTCTTTTTTTTTTGGCGGGGGGGGGGGGGGGGGGGGGGTGCGCGAAAACGATGAGGTTGGGCAGGCTGAACTGCTGCCACTGGCTGTAGAAAACCAAGAGGTGCTTATTTCGAGAATTCCAAAGTCAAATTGACCTACACGGAAGGAAGTTCGTCTGCTTCGAAACACGGCGACTTTCGTCTCAGGGATTTGGCCAGTGCAGCGATTGCACAAATGCATGACGTACAAACCCGTGCTCACATTGAAACAGGCAGGAGTGTGAACTGAACTAAAAATATATCACTGTTAGTTGCGTAATAGTAGTTATTGTAAAACTTAATCAAGGCAGTCACATGCCGGAGCGGACCTTCTTCTTATCATAATCCGTAGTTTCAAACGGATTTGTAATTAACGTGCTCTTTACTATGTCCCCAAAACATCGTTACCGTAGTGTTCACCCAGTCAGTGTTTGGGCGCCTACATCAGAAAATCAGCGAATCTGCTTTCTGGGGTTCTGGAGTCCCTCTCGGCCATGTAGCTTTGTCAGCACCCCTGGGATTGCGAACATATCCGTTACAGCTATTCGTTAAGTGAGAACTGAAGGCTAACTTCAGTGCTCCTTTAACGAACATATTTAGTCGAGAACGAAAACGCTCGATGTTTCTTTTGGTCCCGACTCGATGCACCGAAGAACCAGAACAATTGAAGCTGAAGTGCCGTTAGGACCACCGTGGTTCAGACACTGCACATGAAGGTAATCGTTTCATGAGCAAGCGCTCCGGGAAATGTTAAAATTTCGAAACATACTACTTCCCCCAATCGTACTTTCTTTTTTTCTATTTCAACTTTTCTTCGATTTTCCGACTACATTTCAAAACAAGCACAGTCACAGTGGGTTGGAGATCCAGACGCTCCCTCCATCCGGATATGCCGGATTCCCCACATAATCCACAAAATAAGTTTCAATCAAGAAAGAAAGAAAGAAAGAAAAAAGATCGGACCTATTTCATTTTCAACGGCTTAAAAAGAGTTTGAACGGGGCGCTCTTCCACGCCCCTCGTTAGACAATAGAAGGGCGAAGCGAAGCTCCGGGCTACCCAGCGCGCAGTGGCCAGGCACGTGCAGCCAACGCGTGCGCCGACCGCGCATCGCCCGAGGCCCCAGCGCCGCGACTCACTGCCTTGCTTCTGCTGATTCAGCTGTTCCGTGCTCCGGAGCAGCCGACGGTCGTCGTCGTCCGTCATGTGGCCCCCTCCGCAGATCACCATGGTCTCCAGCGTCGCGCGGCACGCGTTCGACGACACCTGCTCCTCCCGCGCACCCCGGCGGAAGCCCGGGGCCCTTCGGACGGCGGGGCGCGGGGTCTGACACAAAGAGAAATCGGCCGATGCAGAACGGTCAAGAGGAGCCCCGCGCGAGCCGCCCCGCAACTTTCAAACTGGTGGGCGAAGAGCTCTCCCTTCGGGGTGGCGCAGCCAGCCGCGCGCAGCTCGCCAAACAGCCAGCGCGCTGTTGGCGCCCGCTGCCGCAGCAAGCCTCCGCCCGGCGGCGCTCAGAACGGCCGCAAGGTCAGCTCGGTCACGACGCATGCGCGAAGCTCGAGTTGGCACCGAAGCGCCGTTTTCGGATTCCCGTTTGGAAGTTTGTGTGTGGCTTTGAATTATTTTCTCCCTCGCTTCGTTTGCCTCCCCGCCCAACCCCTCGAGCGTTTTAGGGGCAATCGGCACCCGTCTGTACAAAATGTCGGTGCAGCCAGTGATTCACGCTAACAACCTTAAAAAAAAAAAAAAAAAGGCCGACCGGTGCGAGTGAGCGGGGAGGCCGTGGGCGAACACGCGGCTGGTAACAGCTGTATAGTTGAGGACGTCGCAGTCGTGCGACGACGCGCAGCTGTCGCATCGACAGTCTGGCACGGCGGGCTCGACACACTTTCGACGGCGTAATCTCCCATTTACTTCCCGTTACATGATTTCCGGAGCCGGCAAGCGACGGCAGCGGCGCAAGTTACAACTCACAAAGTGGCGGAGTCGAAAGATACGAAGAAGCCCTGTTGATCCGGGGTCACGCGGTTCAACGCGCTAGTGAAATGCCCGTCCGTTGCGCGCACGACCGGTTATAGAGGTGTTCGCTCAATTATCATAAATTTCGAAACTATGCGGACCGCAAGTTCGTCTGCTTCTTTTGTAGGGGGTTCTGATGACGTCAGAACGCCGATATCTGATTGGTCTAGAATGAAATATAGTGGGTAGACTTCAAGGCAGCTTCCTTTGATGTCTACCTCCTTCAATCAGAGCCAATCAGAGCTCATCGTCTTTCTGACGTCACCACAACTCTTGCGCAAGAAGCAGAAGACTTGCCCTCCGCATAGACAGCCAACGAGATTGCTTACCGATAATAACGCCGAAGATCAAATCGCGAAGCAAGACGCATTAATATAATAACGCTATACGTTTCTTACAGTGAATTATTATTGTAAATATAAAAATAGCAGAAATTACGAGGACTGTCAAATGAACAACAGTTTGCTGCTGATGCGCGTCTGAAGAGACGAGTTCATTTTGCAACCGTCATTCGTTGACTTGACCATAGAGAAAGTACTAGGGCGTCGCCTCGCCGCGCAATGACAAAAAAACAAACAAATGTGCATCCCCCCGCGCCGCCATCTCCGAGGCTTAAATGCGGAATTGCGTGCTACTGCTTTTAACGCTTTGCCGAGTCGCGCGAGAGAGTCGCGTGAAATGCCCGTGTCGCAGAGCACGCGAGCTCGGCCGCTGTCCAGAGTGATGAGCGAAGATTGTGGAACCCGGGGGGGGGGGGGGGGGGGGGGGGGGGGGGGGGGGGGGGGAGGGAAGGGGATCGGTGGTCGAGTGGGCTAGCGCACACGAGCTCGGAGCACGTGGAGCGAAAGATCGCGCTGCAGAACCCAGGGATCCCGGGCTCAATCCCCAGCCCGGCCCGTTTCGATATGGACGAGTCTCGTACTGACACGCGTTCGTGTAATCACTACTGCGTGGTGCACGTTAAAGACCCCAGGCTAGCGGTTGTACTGCACTGGCTAAATTGCTCATCTACAGCGAGTGATTCGTCGTAACCTCAAAATGGCTGACCAACTACACGCGGTCTAAATATCCACTCAACCCCAATTATATGGTATCACTGCCGGAGCGGCGTCTATATAAGTCACGAGAGCTTGTGCTGCCGAGATGTTCCCCAGAGCAAAGAGCTCGCGCTTGTAGCCTTTCCTGCGGTACATCATGAAGTGAAACAAAGTATAGCTATCGCCGTTGCAATCAGGCAGAAGCGCGTCGCGTTGAAGCGAGCAAACGAGCAAGCCAGCAGAACAGAAAGGAAGCGCGTGAGCACCGCTCGGTCCTCGGCAGCAGGCGGCGATCTGTGTGACGTCACTTCCGTGGCCAAGTTTTCCTGGCATCGACCTCCCAACTTTGCACCTCCTTCCAAGCGCGGAAAAAGACGCAGTTCTGCTTCAAAAATGAAGTTTAATGCACACGTAACGGTGACTGCCAAAGCTTCAAGACGGTCGCCCTCTGAGACGCCATGTAACTGAACCGTTCTTGTTCGCTTTATGATATTTGACAAGGAGACAGTGGCGTACCAACTTGGTTTTAAGTGGAGGACAAACCAAACCCCAGACCCCCCCAGGGTTGGGGGGGGGGGGGGGGAGGGGGGGGGGGGTGCCCTTAGTATCCCTTCGGCGCCGCCGGCCAGTGTTTGCCCTCACCAGTAACGGCTTTTTTTTTTTTTTTTTTTTTTGGGGGGGGGGGGGGGGGGGCAGGCGCTTTTTTGCCTTCAAGGTTGGTACGCCCATGTAAGGAGAGGGTTTTGTTTGCTCTAATTACATATCGCCTCCCTATTATACTGCATGCTGGCGGTGTAGTATCATAAATAAATATATTAATTAACGTTTACTTATTTTCGCATTAAAGGAACCATGAAATGATTTTCCAACTTCTTCCTCCATGACTTTAATACTTCGCTCAAAAGCGAAATGAGAAACTGCCTGGTCGTGACGTGCTGGGGCACCGGGTGCAATGACTCCAGTCTCCAAGATTCTACCGTGCTTGATAATTACACCATGAAATTGTCGTTCGCTCAGGGCTGATAAGTGCCGTCAGGGCACTCATTGACCACGAACGCGAATTCAGATGTTCGTCGGCGGATTGACCGTTGACGAGCGCATCTACGTCCGCGTGAAGCAGTGCTCGTGTCCAACGCGTGAGCTGGGTTCGACTGCCGTGCATGGGCAGCGCGTTTTATTAGTTTTAAGTTTTATTATATAAGTTTTTTTTTATGAGATCCACTTTTTCTCCATTATACTTGTTGTTCATAAATTAGTTTTCATTTATTTTAGGCGCTACAGCATATCATTAACATGACACACAATTGGAGAAGTAAACTTCGGCATGGGTAACCCCAGCACAGGGTGGGAGTATATATATGCATGGTGCTTAAGGGGTATTCACACAGGGGAGAAATTCCTTCCTTTGCTCCCCGAAAGGCGCATGATGTGGTCGCAACCTCACGCTTTTGCATCACAGTGAAAAGGCGGAGAGATTTCCAAGGAGAGGAGGTACAAAATAGTCTGCTATATTTTCAAATGTTTGTACCGAAAATCAGGCTTTAGGCTTTCTACGCCCGTGTACTAGTTCGATTCTGGCTCACTAAACGATATGTGATCAGCAAAAGTCCCATTTATCCCAGCCGCAAACTCATTTCATGGTCCCTTTAACCGTCCGTGATGGAACCACGCAGTCGATTCGACCTCTGAATATAGCGACTATTTCGCTTCAGCGTATCATGCGGCATGTAATATAGGAAAATGGATGGACGGTTGACCCCATACTCCCGTCTGCGCATCGTACGCGCCGAGTTTTGCGAGTTTGGGCGGTTTCTAAACACAGGTGCATACCCAACTACATACATAGAATAATATCGTTAAAACAAACACAATAAATCAACTCCGGGGGGCTCGCACCACAACACAGATACCACTGACAACGAGCGAAGGCAGCAACCGGCAATCCATCAGAGCGACTCGTCTTCGATAGTCACAGCTAACGACTACTTTTTGATGGATCGACAGTTTCGGGGTCGAGAAACCCCCAGCCGAGTTCTGCCTGCAACGAACGCGGAAGCTTCAGGTTAATTAAGTTTTATTATGAGATCCACTCTTTCTCCATTATACTTGTTGTTTATAAATTAGTTTTCATTTATTTTAGGCGCTACAGCATATCATTAACATGACACACAATTGGAGAAGTAATTAATACTTAATATACACCAGCTGAACAACCCAAGCACACAAATGTAAGAAGGACGAGAGAGACGCATTCAACCGCTGGACTACCAACTGAAATTTAATGAAACACTTCATCTTCATCGACAGGCTAGGATCAATCATACCTAGCTTGCCTCACTTCTTCCTCTTTTTCCTCATTATTAAACTAAGGCATCCTCCTCGTCTGTCTACTTGTGGGCGGTACTTCCCCTCGCAAGAACGTTCTCTCTTCTCTGGTTAAGGTCACAGAGGGTGAACTAACACACATGTCCCCTTTCTCTTGTATGTTTAAAGCTTCTAAAACCTCGCGTGCAAACCGGTTTCGATGGTGCCCCATGACGGTAACTTTGTCTAGGTTCGCCTTGCACTTGCAGTCGCGGCAATGTAGGGCTAAGTGACCTGCTGCCGTCAAGGTCTTCAAGCTATTGGCATGTTCCCGGGTCCTATCATTTATACACCGCCCGGTTTGGCCGATGTAACAGCGGCCGCATGTCAGGGGTATGTGGTATATAACCTCCTTGTCGCACTGGGCATAAACCGTCCTGTGATTGGTGACGGCAGCAGGTCACTTAGCCCTACATTGCCGCGACTGCAAGTGCAAGGCGAACCTAGACAAAGTTACCGTCATGGGGCACCATCGAAACCGGTTTGCACGCGAGGTTTTAGAAGCTTTAAACATACAAGAGAAAGGGGACATGTGTGTTAGTTCACCCTCTGTGACCTTAACCAGAGAAGAGAGAACGTTCTTGCGAGGGGAAGTACCGCCCACAAGTAGACAGACGAGGAGGATGCCTTAGTTTAATAATGAGGAAAAAGAGGAAGAAGTGAGGCAAGCTAGGTATGATTGATCCTAGCCTGTCGATGAAGATGAAGTGTTTCATTAAATTTCAGTTGGTGGTCCAGCGGTTGAATGCGTCTCTCTCGTCCTTCTTACATTTGTGTGCTTGGGTTGTTCAGCTGGTGTATATTAAGTATGTGTAACCAACGTGCTCAACTCTTTCCGGTGGAGAAGTAAATTTCGGTATGGCCCCAAAGCTCCGTGTTTTCGGAGTTTATTTTTCGTGAAATTCAGAGGGTGTTTTTCGGAGTTTATTTTGTAGAAAAAATTCGGTGTTTATCGGAGTTTTTTTTTTTTTTTGTGAATCCCCAATTCTCCGAAATTCGGAGATTAATTTGGCAGTGTTTCCCATTAAAAATAACAAATAATAACCCGATGCAAAC